CACGTCATCAGGTACATGAGGCAGCCCACCAGCTCTGCGTAGGGACCACTGGGCTCGAACGGCTCGTCAGGAAAAGGCCCAGTGAGTCTGTGGTCTACAGCAAGAGGAGTGGGGGCAGGAGAAGAGTCCTGAAGCCCGAACCGCTGAAGAACCCGCTGCACCATGTGTGACTGAGTGAGAGTGATGGTGCGAGCGGCTCTGTCCCTGGAGATCTGCAGGCCAAGGTAGCGGCGCAGTTCCCCAAGGTCAGTGCAGGTGTGTCTCTTCTGCAGTTCGGACTTCACCTCCGCCAGTGCAGCTGTGTCGGCCGTGGCAAAAACCAAGTCGTCAACCTAGACTAGGACGAAGAAAGGTGTACGGCCACGACGAACAAACAGCGACGGGTCGGCGGAAGACGGCTCAAACTCGAGGTCGGAGAGAGTAGAGCGGAGAGTGTCGTGCCACTCACGGGGTGCCTGGCGGAGACCGTAGACTGGTCGTCTGAGGCTCCACTGGGTCCCAGGCGGGAAAGTGCCAGTGAAGCCCGGAGGACGACGCAGCCAGATCTCCTCGTGTAAGCAGCCCTGGAGGAAGGCAGTGGAGAAGTCAAGAGAGTGTAGCTCGTAGTCTCTCTGCGCTGCTACGTGCAGTAACACCCGAAGAGTGGTCATCTTCGGGGTGGGCGCGAAGGTCTGAAAGAAGTCAACCCCCTCGCGCTGACTGAACCCTCTAGCCACGTAGCGTGCCTTGAAGACTGGGGGAGATCCCGGCGGCCGCTTCACCTTGAAGATCCACATGCCGTCAACAATGTTCGCCCCTGGGGGGGGAACCTCGTCAACGTAAATGCCTGTGGACCTGTAGGAGGCCATCTCTGCGTCCATGGCAGCTCTCCACTGAGAGGCCCAAGGCCCTGACACTGCCTCAGCGTAAGTGCGAGGAGTAGGTATGTCAGGAGCGTCGGGGTCTCCCTCAGGAGTGAGCAGCATGGCACAGAGATGAGGCAAAGCAGCTGCCAGGAACTCTAGCTCAAACTGTCTGTCCTCTAGGACGTCTCAGCCAAGGGCACACACACCCCCGGCGGACAGAGGACGGACAGGAGGAGCTGCCACAACTCGAGTGGCGTAGTCAAGGCGACGCGTAGCAGTAAAGTCAGTGACAGCGGCAGTGAGGACCGCGACGGAGGAAGGAGAGGCACGAGGGTCTGTAACAAGAGAGGCGAGAACACGAGAGAGAGTGGGGCGGTACGTGCGGTAGTAGTCAGTGACCAGAGTGGACAGGGAGGCAGTGAGGGAAGACTCAGGAGGACGAGGAAGGACAGACGGAGGAGAACGAGGAGGACGAGGACGAAACAACACGGTACGGAGGTCAGTGACAGGGGACGAGGGACGAGCACGAGGAGGGCGAGAGGCCCAAGTGTGGGCGAGAGGAAGGGGGGACGGAGGAGACTGAGAACGAGGGAAGACAGCCGGAGTGGAGTCCGGAGGAGGAAACGTGGGACCGAACACAGGAGGAGAGGAGGGGAGACCAAGGGCCCGAAGGCCAGAAACAGGGGCCGGAGGCTGCTCCGGCAGCTGCGGCGGCTGCTGCTGCTGCTGCTGCTGCTGCTGCTGTGGCTGCGGCTGCTGCTGCTGCTGCTGCTAAAACTCCAACCGCTCACGCTCCACCCGCTGCTGAACCTCCGACCTCTCACGCTCCAAACGCTGCTGCTCCTCACGCTCTAGACGACGAAGGGCCTGGTAACGAGTCGGGTAGGGGTGAGGAGGAGGAGTGGTGTCAGGAGACGACGAAGAAGAACCGGCTCCACCCTCGACAGGACCCGGCTGAGCACCCCCAGAGCGAGGACCCCCTGCGGCAGCACGACCAGTACCTGTAGGAGGTGTACCCGCACCCCCAGTCGTGGCGCCGCCAGTGGCACCAGCACCAGCCCCAGACTCTCCAGCTCCAGAAACACCACCAGCTCCAGCACCACCACCGACTCCAACACGCTCGGGACGTGCAGCTGCAGCAGGTGCACGCTCAGCTCCAACTCCAACACCCCCAGAACCAGCACCTACTCTAGCAATAGGCAAAGATCCTACGCTAGGTACAGGCAAGTAAACAGATCCGACAGCACTATAGTCAACATCAGCATACATGGCATAAGACCTAGCATCATCCATAGACATATCAAACACAGCAACACCACGAGCAAGGAGTGGTCCCCAGCGCGGTGGCGGGGGAGCGGAGGGACCGTGGTGCAGGACGTACAGGTCGTCAAGACGGCTGAAGCAGCGTGCAGCAGAGTGGTCAGGGCGGCCGCAGTACGTGCCCCTGCGCGGACCCGTCAGGATCCAGTACTCACAGGGACCAACGTCGCGGCCGGCCGAGCGGGGTCCCCGACTAGAAGGGGCACCACTGCGCCCAGTGCTCGGGGGGCCCGTAGGTCTCCACTGCTGCGGGGGGGCCCACTACTGCGAAGGGCCCCACTGCTGCTGAGTGCCCCACTACTGCAGAGTGCCCCACTGCTGGGGCTGCTGCTGAGGCGGACGCTGCTGTTGGCCCTGGCGCTGCTGCTGCTGTCCCTGCCGCTGCTGCTGTCCAGGCGGTGGCAGCTGCGGAGGAGTCTGCTGCTGCTGCTGCGAAAACCCCTCACCACCGTCTAGAGGAGAGCCGTCAGGTCCCGAGTCACCCCCGCCGCCACCCCCGCCACTAGTACTACCGCCACCGCCACCACCCGCAACACCCCCAGAACCCCCGCCGCCCTTCCCTCCCTTCTTGCCGGACTTGCCACGTTTCTGTCCGCCAGAGTCAGAAACGGCCGCCGTCTCCTCAGAGGCAGAAGACGCGGCAGTGGCAAGCGAGGCAGTGAAGGTGGGAAGCTGTGGTACCGCACACCCCTCAAAGAGACGAGGAGGAGGCGCGGAAGAGGCGGAGGCAATAGCGAGGAGGTTACTCTCGATCTTCGAGAGAGCGGTCTCAAGAAGATCGATAGTAAGCTCAGTGGGGTGCTTCAGGAGAAGCGCGTCGCGGGCTGTGGCTAGACGGTCAGGGAGGCGAGTGACTAACCAGTGAATAGTGAGCCACATGGGGGGGGGGTGCAAGGGCAAGCTGTTCCTCAGTGCAAGCGGCCTTGAAGCGAGCTTCAAGGGAGCGCAGGTGGGTAGCGAGGTCAGCGACAGTCTCAAAGGAGGCGAGGTCAGGGTAGATAAAGGGGACGAGGAGGCGGCTGAGGGAGGCAGAGGAGGGAGTGGAGTAGCGAGCAACAATAGCAGTGTAAAGGTCTACAGCAGACTCGACCTGAGTGAAGTGGACAGCCTCAGTCGGCGGGAGAAGGTCGGTCAGGGCGAGGCAGGCAGCAGCGTCACGAGACTCCCACACGTCACGAGCGAGGAACCGGCGCTGGTACTCAGCCTCCTGCTCGGAAGTAGGCGGTGGGGTAGTGGGCAGCGGTGAAGGCTGCGGCGGGGCGGGCAGAGCACCGGACGCATGCGCAAACAGGTGCACGCCATCCTGGCGCTGGCTCCTAAGGTGGCGCTGGGCCTGCGTCAGCCAGGTACTAAAGTCGATCGCACGCCCCTCAGGGTCGAAACGGAGCACGCGAGACGTCGCCATGAGGGGCGAGGACAAGTGATAGCGGCCGCCAGCCGCGAGAGGAGGAGGAGAGGGAGGTGAGTGCGAGGCGGGTGCGTGCAGGCGGGGCGCGCACTGGCTGGGCGCGGGGCGGCGGGGCGCGCTCCGGCGCGGCGCGCTGGCTGGCGTGGCGCGCGGGCGCGGCGCGCTTGCGGGCGGCTAAGCAGGGCGCGCGCTGGCGGGCGCGGCGCGCTGGCGTGCGCGCTGGCGGGGCCCGCTGGCGTGGCGCGCTGGCGGGCGCGCTAGCGGGCGCGTTGGCGTGCGTGCTGGCGGGCGCGCTGGCGAGCTCGCTGGCGGGCGCGCTGGCAGGCGAGCCGGCGGGCTCGCTGGTGCGCCCGCTGGCGGGCGCGCTGGCGGGCTGGCGTGCAAGCGGGCTGGCGCGCAGGCTGGCTGGCGCGCTGGCGGGCTGGCGCGCTGGCTGGCTGGCGCGCTGGCGGGCTGGCGCGTTGGCTGGCTGGCGCGCAGGCTGCTGGCGCGCTGGCTGGCTGGCGCGCTGGCTGGCTGGCTGGCGCGCAGGCTGCTGGCGCGCTGGCTGGCTGGCGCGCTGGCTGGTTGGAGGGCGCGCTGGCTAAGGGCGGGGAGGGGAGGGGCGCGCCGGCTGGGGCGTGGGGTAGGGCGCTGGCGGGCTGGCAGGGTGCAGTGGTAACCCTAGTGGTAGGGAAGGGCGGGCCTAGGACTAGGAGCGCTAACCTACTGCTGATACCATGTCAGAATGAGAACTACAGCGGAATGCGTTGTGTTGACAGAATTGGGGTACATCACCTAACCCTAACTAGTTGTACCCCATATAGCCCAACCCACTACAGGCTATAATATTTGACAAGGAGCTACCGTACACTGACACAAACATGGCACCTCAATAAGCATTACTGGACAGACATGTGCGCTGCCATACCATTTCACTGGTTAGAATACCGTTTTTTAGAATGAGAAACTACGGTATGGTAGGATCCCTAATCTGTGCAAAATACCTACAAAATACGATTTCAGATTTCACTAGTACCATATCTAGAGCCCTAGCCAGCCACAGCCAAGGATCAACAGCCTAGTGACATGTAGAGCTTTGAAAAATAGCATGTCTAAACCGCAACCTGCATCGATGGAAATAGATGGAGAGGGTGGGGAAGTGGGAATGAACGAAAAATATTTTAACTCCCAACACAAGGCTAGAAACCCCGAACCAGCCAGCCAACCCAGCATGCACAGGGATGCATGCAGTGCAAATGATTGTGCACAGCACAGATGCCCTGACCACCCAGTGCAGCGTAAATAAACAAGGAAGCAGGGGTCGCACATACCCAGCCATGGCACCGATGCTGCTGCCCTCAGCTCTTCCACACCAACACCAGCACCACCCCACAGACCACACTGTACCGCACAGCACCGGCACCAGCAAGCACACCCGCCCGCTCTCATGTGGGGCCACCACCACCAGTGGCAGCAGCACCCCCCTGACTGCCCGTGCCCTGTGTATTATCTGCCATGCTGGCAGCGATAGCACGAGCCAAGTCATCCTCATACTGTCTCTCTGACTCTGACCATAAATGCCCTCCACCCTCTGCAGTCGCTCCTGCACCTCTCACCGCCACCGCCCCTTCCCCTGCTCCTGCTCTTGCTGCTGCTGCTGCTGCTGCCGCTCGTGCTTCTGCTGCTGCTGCTGCTGCCGCTCGTGCTTCTGCTGCTGCTGCTGCTGCTGCTGCCGCTCGTGCTTCTGCTGCTGCTGCTCCCGCTTCCCCAGAAGCCACACCTGCTCTGCTCGCTGCCCCCCCCAGCGCCTCACTCCCAGCAGCAGCAAGACTAGCAGCAAGCGCCCGAGCCAACTCTGCATCCTCCCCTCCCACCCCCTCCCTTTCCCCTCCATGCAACCCCCAAGCATCCCCTCCCAATCCACCACCACCACCACCACCCCTAACTCCAAACATCCCTCCCATCCCTCCCAACCCCCCGATCTGCATCTCTCTCTGCTGCTCCGCCCGAACCTCCTGCTCCTCCCACTGCTTCGCCACAGCAGCTGCAGCGAGCTCGTCACAGGCCTGGGCAGCCGTCACCCAGCGCCCACACGCGGCGGAGGAGGAGGACGCGGGCGGGGGCGCGGGGGGGAAGGCGCCTGTGACGACGAATATGGTCCAGCCCTCGGCGCGCAGCGAGGAGAGGTATGCTGCCAGGTAGAACTGGCGTGGGGAGAGGGGGTTGGGGAGGAGTGTGGGGGAAAGAGTGTGGGGAGTGCAGGTGGGGCAGGGTGGGTGCCGGGAGCGGGGGAGCAGGGGAGCAGGTTTACACGGCGTGGGAAGAATGTGGTGGTGGCAGGAAAGTGGAAGAATGTGGTGGTGGCAGGAAAGTGGAAGAATGTGGTGGTGGCCGGAAAGTGGGGGAGGGTAAAGGGAACGGGAACAGGAGCAGGAAACCGGGAAAGTGGGAAAGAGGGAACGGGAAAAGGGGGAAGAGGGGAGATTACAGAATTTAACACAAGGACGAGGGCTAAATCCCCCAATACACTGCTGCCACTCACCAATCTGCTTGCCCTTCCCTGCCCCATACCCACCCATGTCCTCATGCACAACAGAGAGGTGTGTGGCAGCAAGCCCTTATAAGAGGGCAGGCAACCTGCCTATCTCTCGCCAGCCCCCCCACCCCAACCCACGCCTATTTTTGAGGCGCATAAATAATAATCCACCTCCCCACATCTTGCCAACCCCCCCACCCCACCCCAACCCACCCCACCCCACACTACGCCCATCCCAACCCAATCCCTGAACCCGTGCATCCGTGCAGCCTTACAAACAACCCTACACAAGTGCACCGACCCATCCCCACGCGTGCAGGGCAGGGCAGTGCACCTCGGAGAGGTGTTGTGGCGCGGCGAGCAGGCTGTTGAAGTTGAACCAGTGCTCCCCCACCCTCCTCAGCGCAAACCAGTGCCGCTGGTCACGCACCACAGGGGGTGGGGAGAAAGGGAGGGAGAAAGGGATTGAAGTCTGAAAAGGTCAGGAGGGAGGGAAGGTGTAGGTTCCGCAGAGGAACCTCCTATTTATGTCTTATCTCTTCAACAACACCTCAGCAGACTTGCTCGAAACCGCCATCCATCCCACCACATCCCTCCGTTCTCATACCAACCCCTCAGTCCTAGATCCAACTCCCCCCTCTCCCTCCCCCCCCATTCCTCACGTGCAGGTGGCACAGGAAGGCGGTCTGGGCGTGCGGGTTGGCCTGCGCGGCCTGTGCGGCGCTGTTGGCGGCGTCCAGGGGCGTGAGCGCCAGACCCCACACCGCAAGCGCCTCCGATAGCACCTGCGCGCAAGGGGGAGAGGGGGAGGGGGAGGAGAAGGGGGGCGGAACGGAGGGGGGAGAGGGGGGGGTGCGGGAGGGGGAGGGTGAGGGGAACGGGGGAAGAACTGGAACGAGGGAAAGCGTGGCCTCGGTTAGAGCGTAAAACGTGGGGGGGAAGGGGGAAGCAAGGGAAAGAGACCAAGGCGCATGTCAGCTAGAGAATCGTACACGTTGATGACCCATCATGCACGCAGCTTGCACGCTGCATGGCGACTACACGGGAGACAGCTAACCTCACTATGGCACGTTAACAACAAGCACCACACGGCACGGCATGACACGGCAGAGCACGGCACGGCAGAGCACGGCACGGCACGGCGCGCACCTGAATGCTGAAATCCCCATCCGCCGCCGCGTTCTCCGACTCGCCGCCACCCCCGCCTTCCGCGCTCCCCCCGTCCCCCGCGCTGGCGGCGCCCGCCCCGCCCTCCGCCATGACGGCGCGCTCGCGGCGGTCGAGCCCCTCAGCGATGGCGGCGAGGTCGGCGGCGTCGAAGAGCGGCGCCTGCAGCAGCGCGTTGAGGCAGTGCACGCCGCACAGCGCCGCGTCCTGCCGCTCGTGGTACAGCCGCACCGCGCCCGGCGGCTGCTGCTGCTGGTTCTGGTGCTGGTAGTTATCGACCATTTCAGCTTGCTTGCGTGCCTGCTTGCACCGTGACGTAAGGGTCAGCGTCTGGCAGCACGGTGGATGGTGGACGGTGGACGGCGATGGGAACAGGCGGCCGGCACCAGACGACGGCCGTTCAGACACACGGAGTAGTAGACGAAGGCACGCAGCACGCTCAACTCCAGAACACAAATCAGTCTCTACTTCGCGAATTGCGATGATGGCAGCAGCAACGGCCAGCTACCGATTACGGATCTTGGCGAAACGAGAGGAGACAACGGGGAGGATACGGAGAGAGAGAGAGAGAGAGAGAGAGAGAGAGAGAGAGAGAGAGAGAGAGAGAGAGAGAGAGAGAGAGAGAGAGAGAGAGAGAGAGAGAGAGAGAGAGAGAGAGAGAGAGAGAGAGAGAGAGAGAGAGAGAGAGAGAGAGAGAGAGAGAGAGAGAGAGAGAGAGAGAGAGAGAGAGAGAGAGAGAGAGAGAGAGAGAGAGAGAGAGAGAGAGAGAGAGAGAGAGAGAGAGAGAGAGAGAGAGAGAGAGAGAGAGAGAGAGAGAGAGAGAGAGAGAGAGAGAGAGAGAGAGAGAGAGAGAGAGAGAGAGAGAGAGAGAGAGAGAGAGAGAGAGAGAGAGAGAGAGAGAGAGAGAGAGAGAGAGAGAGAGAGAGAGAGAGAGAGAGAGAGAGAGAGAGAGAGAGAGAGAGAGAGAGAGAGAGAGAGAGAGAGAGAGAGAGAGAGAGAGAGAGAGAGAGAGAGAGAGAGAGAGAGAGAGAGAGAGAGAGAGAGAGAGAGAGAGAGAGAGAGAGAGAGAGAGAGAGAGAGAGAGAGAGAGAGAGAGAGAGAGAGAGAGAGAGAGAGAGAGAGAGAGAGAGAGAGAGAGAGAGAGAGAGAGAGAGAGAGAGAGAGAGAGAGAGAGAGAGAGAGAGAGAGAGAGAGAGAGAGAGAGAGAGAGAGAGAGAGAGAGAGAGAGCGTCGTCAAATCCACGTCGGATCAGATCACACCACCTAACGTCGGATCAGTGCGAGAGACAAGATCGCGCTCTCGAGTCGGTTTAGCTGACGAAACGACGCGATGGAGAGTTTTGCGCGGCTTGGTGAAAGTGCACTGGGGTGAAAGATGCTGCGCTGCTGCTAATCGAGAGGGGCAGGTTGGCTGGTCCTTGGGACTACATTCACGACGTGACTGACACGCCAAGAAGACCGCACGGCCTCAAAGCATATTTCTAGCAGGTGGCGCGAGTATTTCGTTATACCGGGTGGTGTGGTAGGGTGCAGTCAGGTCGGATTATGCTAAAACTGGTTCCGACGTAAAAACAGGTCCCTCTTCCCAAACCTGCGAATTTTCGAACTACACCTTTCGGTTCAGCCAGACCACCAAGTCAAGCTGAGGAAGGCATGAACACAATCATAAAATAATTTACATCACAAAACAAATGAAAATAAATAGCACACTAGTGTAGTTCCGAAAGCATGTACAGAGTGTGTCCGTCCTCGCGTGTTTTTCCATCACGAGTTTCTCTACACCAGGCACCTGCCCCTCAGTAAAGCTGCAGGATCCGGCAGGCAAATGCGGGCCCCGACTTGCACAGGGTTGAGGCATTCGTAGCCGTTGATTTGTCGGAAGCAATCGTGACTTCCACCGAAGGACTTCGGCAGGATCGTGTCACACGTGTCAGCCTTGAGAATGACGTACGGCCTCGGACAGGTGGGGATCTGCGGGTCGTACACGTCAGCCCAGCACACCTGTGAATGTTGTGGGGGAAGGTGGTGAGTGTGTGTATAAGTAAAGGGGGAATAAGGGGCTGAGCAGAGTCCAACCAATACCAACACTGTTCCAATAGAATCTAAAGGGAGGTATAATAGGCCGTACAGATGCAATCAAGGGACACTCGACCGGTGCATGCTGCACTGGTGTAGTTAGCAACTCTGGATGGACCAGACTGGCCACTCACATCATAGTTGGGGATGACAGCAGCAGAGGCCGGCACAGGCAGGGCGATGCGGTCACAGAGAATCCCGGGGTTCAGCTGGTACAGCTCCTCCACACTCATGCCGCCCGCCACCGTCTTGCGCAGCACATCACACGTCTCTCCCGGCGCCACCGTGTGCACGTGCGGGCACGCAGGCACTCGCGGCACGTATAGATAGTCCACCTTGACGCATACGGAGAGGTACGCTGGGAGAGTGCCATCTGTGTCTGCGCTGCAGTCGAGCCCAGGGTTGATGGCCTGCAGAGCGGTCTTGCAGGGCTTCACGCACGCTGTGGTGGAGGGGGATGCGCAGGCCTCCCCCGGTATGGGATCGCAGGTGTCTGTGAGGGCGTGCCGTGTGGCTATGGATACACATGTGTCACCCTGTGAGGGAGAGGTGGCGGGATACAATGGGAGGGGTGGGAGTTTCGAGGAGAGGGGGAAGGATAGGAGGGGAAGAGAGAGTGAGGAACAGAGGTGAGTGGATGGGGAGAAAGGGCGCAATTTGTGCATAAAAAAGAATGGGGCAGGAGAGGATGGGTTGAAAACAGGTATGCAGGTACTCGTAAACGATTTGCGGCACATGGGAGAAAGGGGAAGGGGGGAGAGAAAAAGCGGGGAGGAAAGGGAGAGTGCGTGATTCTGAGCAGAAAAGTGCAGAGAAGGTGTGATTCCCTAAGCTCACAGCCGAGGTGGTGTGGTCTACCAGGCAAAACAATACGAGTCACACGTGCGATGCAAATGAGAGGCATGGGGCTCACAGCAGCGGTGGTGTAGTAGGCGGAGCAGGGCGAGAGCGAGGAGGTGGCCGTGGTGATGACAGTGGTGTTGACCGGTATGGGCGCATTGCAGTTCAACGCCTGCTCGTGGTTGCACGCATGCCATGGGGAGGGCAAGAGGGAGGGAGGGAGGGAGGGAGGGAGGGGGGGAGGGAGGGGGGAGCATGAGAATCGACAGTGAGCATGAGGAGAGAGCATGCGAATCAACAGTGCATGCACGGAGGTGGGTTAACTTGGTGCGAGGTAGAGGGGGGGATGTGATGTGAGGGAGCAAGGGAGGGTGTGCGTACCGGGTTGAGGGTCTTGAGCTGCTGCAGCGTGAGCCCCACGGTCTGGTGCACGTGCGCACACGTCACTCCCCCGCCCCTCACCACGTAACTGGTCGCCACCGTGAGCGCTGGCATGGCAGGGTGTGGCGGGGTGGGGCAGAGTGGAGTGGGGTGAGGTGGGGTGGGGCAGAGTAGAGCAGGGTTGGGTTGGGGTGGGGTGGGGTAGGGTGGAGTGGGAACGGGTGGGGCACGACGGGGCAGGCAGGTGGGATGGGAAAGTCAGTGCGAGGGAACTATGGAAGACAGGGGAGGTTGTGCAAGAGGTGAGAAAGAGACACATCCGCATGCTGTAAGGAGCAGGCAAGGGAGGGACGGAACACGGGAAAGGAAAGGGAGGGAGGGTAGACGCGGAAGTGGGGAGACAAGGCTAGGGAACGAAGGAGGGAGAGAAGGCGAGGAAGTGAGAGAGTGAAGGATTGGCGAGAAAGGGAAGTAGGGAAAGAGTGGGGAGGGGAGACGGAGGAGAGAGGGGATGGGGGAAGGGATGCGCAGAGGAGGAAGTGATGGGAGAGATTCACCCCGGTATGGGAGGAGGTGAGGCACGGCGAGTGATTACAGGGAGCACAGAAGAAGGTGGAGCACAAGAGACGGTACCTCGAGCACAGGAGAAGGCAGGTACCATCACAGTTAAGACAGGGGCTGGATTTGAACCGCTGCAAGCCTACTAAGAGTATATCTATGACCTAAAACACTATTCCTACTAATATAAAAGCAAGGGAAGATGTGAAGAACAAAAAGATCAAAGGTACCTGGAGCACAGGAGAAGGAGCCATCGACGGTGGTTCCTTGAATGAAGCCCCGTGGACACACACACGAGTACGACCCCGCACCGTCATTCACACACGTGCCCACCCCACACGGGTTGAAGCCTGCCGCCCCACACACGTCCACTGCACACAGGCCAAGAGGTGCGGGGTGAGGGGGGGATATGTCATAATCAGGTAATTTTGAATCGACCTAAAAAATACAATAAAAACATATCCACTGCAGGAGGGCGAGGGTTCGGGGGGAGGGGGAAAGGGGGAGTATGATGATCAGGTGATTTTGAATCGGCACTGTTGAACCAATGAGTACAGGTCGCAATTGACAAGAGGGTGAGATGGCGCGGGCAGCAAGGGGGAGGAGGCAGAGAGGAGGGGGAGGCATAGATGAGACAGCACAATGGGAAGGGAGGGAGGTGCTTGAGGAGGGTGGAATGGAAGAGCCCATAGGGGGAAGAGCGGAGAAGAGAGACGAAAGAAAGAGCAGGAGGGTAGGCACGGACCAAGGGAGCAGGTGCGGGAGCCATCGAGGTTGGTGGCCTGCACGTAGACAGTGCCATCGCAGTCACACGTGTTGCCCATGGTGCACACGAAGCCCCCCACAACGGGTTCGCTTTAAAGAGTTCTCTCTTGAAAACCCCTTTTGAGAACTCTCTCTCAAAGGCGACTCACGAGGATAGGGGGACGCACCGAGGGTGCAGGTGCGGGAGCCATCGAGGTTGGTGGCCTGCACGTAAACAGTGCCATCGCAGTCACACGTGTTGCTCGTGCCCACCACCGTGCATGCAAAGCCCCCACACGGGTTCGCCAGCAGCGTTCCGTCCGCCTGCACAATGTCGCTGTTGCACGCGTCCGAGGATGCTGCATGCGGCAGGGGGGGTTGGGGCGGTGAGGGGGTGGGAGGGCAATGGGAGGAGATGGGCAGGGAGTGAGAGAGAGCAAGGGAGCGTTAAGGTAAGGAGGCATAGAGATGGAGAGGGACGGGTAGAGAGACAGGGACGGAGCGGTGTGTTGTGTTGACATGGACGGGAGGGGGCGGCAGAGATTCGTGGCTGGGATGAGAGGTGCCAGAAACATGTACATGTGCGTGGGGAACGGGAGGAGGAGCGGAATGTGTGGAAAGGGAGGGAACGGCGGGGAAGGGGTATGTCAAAAGCAAAAACAAACAAACAAACAAACAAAGCAAAGGCGGGTTTGAAATAAGGAGGATAAGAATAGTGCAGAGACAGAGGAAGGGTGTGGCAAGGAGAGATGTGTGTGAGGGTCCTGGCCCTCTGCCACTACCCCATACCCCAGCCATGCGACACTACTGCCTCCCACCCTGCATCCCATCATCCCCAATGTGCATCCCCACCCGCCCTCCTTCCTTCCCGCCTCCTGTTCGCCCACAACCCCTCCCGTTCCCCCCTTTCCCTTTCCTCCGCCTCCCTCCCCCACCCGCTTCCCCCCTACCCTCCACCCATTCCCGCCCACCCAACCCCAACAGACATCCAACGCACATCGCACGATGGGGTAGACGCCAGGCAGCGTGTTGATGCCGCACACGCCGTACCCGCCCTGCATGTCCATGCGCATGTGGCCCCCGTCGCCCCACCCGTCACCCCATGAGTTGCGGATGATCCAATAGGGCGCGGCGATGTGAGGGAGGGCCGGATCAGTGCCTGAGAGGCGGTACCCCACCACTAGCACTGCGTGGTTGGGGGCGAAGGTGAAACAGGCCGGGTCCTGGTACTTGAACAGCTGTGGGGAGGGAGAGAGAGAGGGGCGCGGGGTGGGGGGGGGGAGGGGAAGGAGAGGTTGGGGGAGAAGAGCGGGGGAGGAGGAGGGATGACGAGGTGGGGAAGAGGAGAGGGGGGGTTGTTAGCATCTCAAGACACGATGTGGGTGGGGAAGAAGGTAAAGGGAGAATGGGGGGTTTGGGGGGATGTTGAGGAAGGAAGTGTGGGGGGGAGTGGATGGGAGAAGCGAAAGAGAATGATGAAGTGGTAAGTGGGGAGAGAGAGACGGATGGATTGGTTATAGGAGCATTGGAAAGAAGTGGAAGCAGAGGCAACGGGAAAGGGAGAGAGATAGCGAGACACGGCACGCCGAGGTCTGTGAGCAGTGCAGCAACCAAGAGCTTTTCATGCAGCAGACAGGGGAGTGTGCTGTGAATCCAGTGCAGCAACAACAATCACAACAGCATATCAATAGCAACAGCAGGGAGACCACAGCAGCAGCACAGCAACCCAGCAAGCCAGCAACAGCAGCAGCCCAGGCGCGGGCAGCAGACGCACCCCGTTGTAGGAGATGAAGGAGGGCGCGGTGGCCTGGATGGTGACCACCACCGGCTGCTGCTGCACCGCCAGCAGCAGCCCGAACCACCCCATGCCAGGTGCGCGCTCCCAGCCCACTATGGGGAACGTGGGCACCTGGTGCATGCAGGGCGATGACGGGCGGTAAGTGAGAGAGAGAGGGGGTTTGGTGTGAGGAGAGGGGGGAGTGGTTTGGAGGGTGTATGGCGTGTGAAGGGGGAACGGGAGAGGACGTGGCAAGACGGGGCAGTGGACGGAAAGGCCGTGGCAAGGTGGGAAGTGGCAGAGAGTCAGGGACTAGCGGAGGATGCAGGGGAGCCGTAGGAGAGCGGTGGAAGAGAGAGACGAGAAGAGAAGGCAATGCGGAGGCAGCTGGTGATTGTGCGTGCTGACCGGCTCCAATAGCGCAGAGGCACAACGATGGTGGATTCACAAGGTGAAGAGGGAGAGAAGATGAAGGGAGGGAGGGCGAGACTGAGAGGGAGGGAAGCCAAAAGAGCAACTGCGAGGTCGGGAGAGAGAGAGCAAAAGAGCCAGAGCGAGGGCAGAGAGCAATAGAGAGAGCAGAGGGCGGCAGAGAGAGCATGTAGAGCGGGAGAGAGGAGAGGGCGCAAGAGAGCACGCACGGCAGGTTTGCCGCGTTTCAAAGAAGCAGAGCCGAGCGGGCGTGTGTACGTAGCCTTGGCAGTCAGCCCGCCGCCCGTCTTGCCACTGGTCACCAGGAACTGCAGCCCCGACACAGGGCTCCCGCCCTTGCAATTACTCTTCAGGGACGTCCTCAGCGGGTCCACATTGAACACCGTAGACCGGCTCAGATTCCCCACGATGTTATACGCCGCCTCGATGCTGCTGACCAGGGCGAAGGCCCAGCTGTCGGCGCACTTGAGCTGGTCCTTGATGGGCCACAGCAGGCCCGTGTTGTTCCAGTTGACATCGGGCTTGGGGGACCAGGAGCGCGCGGGGGTGGGGGTTGTGGTGGCGCCCACGGAGACGTGGCGCGAGAAGCGGTTGGCGTTGAGCGAGGAGAAGGCGTCCTTGGTGAAGGCGAACCCCGTGGGGTACGCTGGTGGCCGGGGAGGGGCGGATACACGGCGGGGCAGGTGGAAGACGGAGAGGAGTGGGTTGGGGAAAGGGGTAGAGAGAGGGAGGAGGAGTTGGGGAAGGTGGTGGGGAAGAGGGGAAAGGGGGTGAGAGTGGGAGGGGTTGAGAAGGAAGGGAAATGGAGGGACGGGGGAAGACAGGCGGGGAAGAGAGAGGAAGAGGAGGAGAGTCAAGGTAGGAAACATTCTTGTTAAGAAAACTGAGGCAGGCGGATAAAGCATGTGCAGAGGCGGGAGGGACTTGCGATGGAACAGAGAAGGCGATGGTAGGGGAAAAGGAGGCATAGGGCATGAGTGAGTAGTAAGTGACTCACCAACAGTGGGTTTTGGTGAGAGGGCGCTGGGTAAGCCTGCAGAGCACAGCACACGGCACAGAGCAGAGAGCAGCGCACAGCAGAGAGCAGCGCACAGCAGAGCAGAGCAGAATGAGGGAGGATGGATGCAGTGAGTCTCAGTGGAGGACAGCCACAGTACAGAGCCACCCTGTCAGCACACAAGGAAGCATGCTTCCAGAGCACAGTGCATACGAGCTGCACAAACAGCAATAGCCAAACACACGGCACGCTTACTACCCTACCCACCCCCTTCCAATCCCTCTCCCGCCCAAGCGCACACACACACCCACACACACTCAAACCAACGCCACAGCACCCGAGCCAGCCCCCACAGCGCACGCACTGGTGGAGATGCTGTAGTTGAGAATGACGTTCCTCTGCCCCACGAGCGCAGAGCTGGCCCCTGTGAACCCCACGTGGAACGACTCCTCCCCTTCCACGGGCGCCAGCACAGTGCACAGCGACAGCGCCGCACTCAGCACCGCCTTGGCCGGCTTCACTGCTGTCGCCGCCACAAACACCGACAGCGTCCCCGCGGCGTCGCTCAGCGGCACGTAGTCGATCCACGCGAACTTCACCTTGCCGTCGCCCGCCACCAGGGGGGAGGTGACGGCTGTCACGGACATTGGGTTCCCGTTGAGGTTCACTCCCACATGGTTCGCTGACATGTCCTTGATCGTCAGGGCCTTGTCCTGAAACCCGTCAAACTCCACCGCCACGCTCCTCTGACCAAGCCCGGAGTAACCCAGAGCGGTCACATCCCCTGTCGCGGCTGTATCAGTAGCAGCGATCACAAACGCGACCCCTCCAGCGGACTTTTTCCCGGGCTCGGGGGTGCTTTGGAAGGCGAAGGAGGCGGAGAAGGCGAAGGGGCGGCCGCAGCCGGACTTGCGGAGGCCATAGGAGAAGAGGCGCGTAGGGGCGGTGAGGAGTGCGGCGCCCCACTCGTTGAGCGCAAGCGTGGTGAGCGTGATGGCGCCTGTGGTGGCGCTCACTGTTGCTGCGCCGCTGACGGTAGCCGCGGGCAGAGAGGCGGAGGGCACGGTCGTGGATAGCGCCACTGGGGGCGCGGAGGCTGGTAGTAAGGGCGGGGGGAAGTGGGGGGTACGGAGGGGAGGGGGTATGGGAGATGAGATGAGATATAGGAGGAAAACAGAGAGGGGAGATGAGGATATGGAGGACAGGAGAGAGGAGAAGGAGAGGGAGGGAGGGAAGGGGAGGGGGAGGGATGGGTGAGAGAAACAATTGGAACATGGCAGCTGGGGCATGGATGTGCAGGCGTCGCAAGCAAGGGAGGAGAACAGAGATCACAAACGAGAGAGTGAACGCAGGGGGGGGGGGGAGAAGTGGACGAAAGGAGACAAGACGCCACTGAGAGGGAAGAAAAAGGCAAAAGGCAAAACAGAAAGGAGCGCAGCCAAGCTTGTGGCGGAAGGGAAAGCGGAGAAGGGGAGTGGGGGAGAAAGAGGGGGGGGAGAAGGGGCAGAGCGAGCTGGTGCAAACTGCATGAGTTGGAGTTGGAGCTTTGGCGTGTCCAATGCACACACACACAAAAGCATACCACGCCATGCCATGCCATGTCATGCCATGCCATGCCATGCCATGCCATGCTATGCCATGCCATGCCAGGGTTCATTAGTGCAACTCACAGGATACGCAGGTGGCGGGGTCCTCCCCGTTCTGCAGCGAGTCCCCGCACGTGCACACACCCGCCTGCACCGCCTGCTGTGGCAGCAGCGCGCACGTGCCCTCCCCGCCGCACACCTCGCCATCCGCAGGATTGAGGCCGCAGAACGCCGCGCACTCCGCATCAGTGCGCTGCGGCATGGCGTCGCAGACGGTGGGCGGGATGCAGTTGCGGCGGAAGGAGACGGAGAGAGGAGTATCGGCGTCGCAGGAGGAGGCGTCGAAGACGGTGGAGGAGAGGTAGTTGTGGTCGTACCACGCCGTGCCGTTGGCCAGCACGTCCACCTCGCCCACCAGCATGTTGCTGCGCACGTCCCTGCAGCAGTAGGGGGGTGGGAGGGGGGCGAAGGGGGGGAAGAGGAGGGGAAGGGAGGGGAAGGGAGGTGAGAAGGGGACAGGATGAGTGGGTGGAGGAAAGGTGGTTGTGGCAGGATACCACGACGTGCCGTTGGTTAGTGCATCCACCTCTCCTGCTAGCATGTTGCTGCACACGTCCCTTGAAAGGTCGGGGGAGTGGGGGGAGAGGGGTGGGGAGCGGAAGGGAAAACGGGGGAGAGGGAGGAGGTGACAGGGGGAAGGGGACACGATGGGTGTGCTAACATGGCTTGGGCATGGGAACATGTGTGCGGGAGATGCGCATGGGAGAATGTGCATGGCGTGTGCATGTCAAGCGTGTGCATGTCAAGCGTGTGCATGTCAAGCGTGTGCATGTCAAGCATGTGCATGTCAAGCATGTGCATATCAAGCATGTGCATGTCAAGCATGTGCATGTCAAGCGTGCGCATGTTGCATGTGGTGTGCTGCTTACAGCGTCCACTTGGAGGCAGTGCGGGAGAAGTATGCTGTGGGCACGGAGCCTGAGAGCGCGTTGTTGCTCAGATCACTGCATGCGACAGGCGAATGCACGGCACATGGCACGGCACGACACACAACACACGGCACACCAGGTGGTGGCGGGGTGATAGGGTGTTGCAAGAAAGGTACGGATGGGGTTTGGGCAGGAGGAGAGGGGCTATGGAAAAAGCCATGGGAAGCAGTATGAAGTGCAGAAAAGGAGGTTGGGGTCAAGGGGGAGTACTCCTATGCATGCACAGCATAGGCACAGCATAAGGGGAAGGACATGAGCAGCGATGTGAGCAAAGACGTTGGAAGGGGGGGCTGAGGGAAGAAAGGGGGAGTGGGAAGGCATGTGGTACGTGAGGAATGTAGGGCTTTGTGGGTGTGGGAGGGGGGGGTGGAACTTAGCCAAGAAGCAATCAGACGACACATAATTGGGACGAGCAGAGAGTACAGGGAGTCAAGACGGGGTGAGGGAAACGGAAGGGAAGAGGGGAAGGGGAGGCGGGGGAGAAGGGGGGTAGGGAAAGTGGCAGCACTGACACGTAGGCGAGTCCTGCGATGCTGGCGAGGGAGGCAGGCAGCGCGCCTGACAGGCGATTGCGCGCCAAGGAGCTGGTGTGCGGGGTGGGGAGAGGTGGGGGGGTGGGAGAGGGGGAGGGGAGGGAGAGGGGGAGGGGAGGAAGCGGGCAAGAGTGGGCGGGGGCAAGGGGCAAGGAGGGAGGGAAAGACGGAGGTTGTGGGGCCCGGGAGTGGCGGAGGGGAGGGAGTAGGGAAGGACAGTGGCGGGATGGGAGAGGGAGGGGTGGGGTGGTGAGCTGGCAGGGTGTGAGACGAGGAGGATGGAGCAAGAGACGAGAGGACGAGGAAGGGGGGTCCAACGGAGAGACTTGACAACATGCAGTGCTGCACGGGTCGAGACTCGAAAGCTAGATGAGGAATGCAGTACAGAGCGGTGCAGTGCAGTGCATGGTAGGGGAGGGGAGGGGATGTGGCGGGTTGGGCGTTACAGGAACTGCAGCGAGGAGAGGGTTGAGATGGGGTCGGGGATGGAACCAGAGAAATTATTGTCGTCCAACTCCCTGCGCGGTTGCGATGGGGGAGGGGGGAGAGCGGCAGAGGCAGGGGGGGCAGAGTATAGAAGGCGAGAGAAGTGGAGGGGAGGTCAGAGGAGTGAAGGAAAGAGGAGAAGAGATGAGATAAGATGGGATGAAACGAGTTGCAGTGTGGTGTGGTGTGGTGTGGCGTGGTGTGGTGTGGTGTGGTTTGGTTTGGTGTGGTGTGGTGTGGTGTGGTGTGGTGCGGTGCTTTGCGGTGTTGCGCTGTGGTGTGGTGTGGCAAGCACGTGCAGTGGCAAGCAAGACACGTGCAGTGGCAAGCAAGGCAGGGGTGCAGCAGGACTGACAGGACTTGGAGGTTGGAGAGGGTGAAGAGACCAGAGGGGATGGTGCCGTTGAGCAGGTTGCTGCTGGCGGACCTGTGAGCAGGCGGGTGGGAGAGCAAGCACAGGCAGGCATGCCGCCACAAAGGGGAGAGAGAGGAGAGGGGGGGGGGGGGGGGGGGGGACGAGGCATGGATTGATGATGTGTGCTGGCATTCCTTGGCATGGGGGTTGACAGAGCGGAAGAGTGGTTACAGGGAGGGAAGCATGACAGTCAGTGGGAGGACACGGGGAGGTGTGAGGGAGAGATGGAACGGAGGGAAAGGGAGATGGGAGGGAGTGAGGGAGAAAGGGCATTGTGCAAAGGAGAGACAGAGACAGAGGCTGAGGCTGAGGCGGAGTGAGAGAGGGTGTGAGGGAGAGACAGGCGGGTGTGAGGGAGAGAAGGGTGTGAGGAAGAGACGCGAGGGTGCTTTGAGACGGAAACAAAGGCTGAGGCTGAGGCGAAGCAGGGGGGTCGGGCGGGCGGGGGGAGAGGGCACTGACAGCCAGGTGAGTGAGGTGAGGGCGCTGAAGGAGGCGGGCAGGGAGCCCTGGAAGGCGTTGCTTGACAGCGACCTGCTCAGGGCAGGGGGCAGCACGCGCAGAGAGAGGCGGCAAGGGGGCGGAAGAGCAGAGGGAGAGGGGTGCAGGGGGGGAAGGGACACAACGGGGAGGGGCACAAGGGGGAGAGGGGCGAGGGGAGAGTAGGGGAGGGGGGGTAGGGGACGAGGTGAGGAGGCATGGGATGGAAGGCATGTGCATTGGGGTCAATGGGGAGCAAGTGAGAAGGTGTAGGAGGGGCGAGGGCACAGGGGGGACACGCGTGCAATGAGGAGAGGCACATAGACAAGATGGGTGATGGAGAACAAGCAGGAGTGGAGCAGCGCGTGGGGCGAATGGAGGGGCGGCGCACAGATGCGGGGATGACGAGGGGGGGCAGATCCAGGGCAAATCGGCACAAGGAGCAGTGGGAGTGGGGAGGCAATGGGGATGACGGAGTGAGGAAGAGTGGTGAGAGAAAGGGGTGAAGGGTGTGTTTGCACAGGGAACAAAGGCACAGGCAGACGCCACAGTCATGTGCCTGGCCCAGCCTCTCACACGCCACACACACGCCTCTATAACCCCCAACATGCCAGACCTTACCATGCAGACCCCTCCCTTGCTCCCATCCACCCTTCACTCTCACACAAAAACAGCCTTTCCCCCACCCTGACCGTGCCCCATGCCCCATGCCTCATGCCCAGCGCCCCATGCCCAGCGCCCCATGCCCAGCGCCCCATGCCCAGCGCCCCATGCCCAGCGCCCCATGCCCAGCGCCCCATGCCCAGCGCCCCATACCCAGCGCCCCATGCCTAGCGCCCCATGCCCAGCGCCCCATGCCCAGCGCCCCATGCCCAGCGCCCCATGCCCCATGGCGCGCATGCCCCATGCCAGCATGCGGTGCGGCGTGTCCCATGGGGTGTGTGTGAGAGCGTACAGTTCACTCAGGCCCGTGAGCACGCTCAGCTGCGATGGGATGGGGCCACTCATGCTGTTGCGCTGCAGTACACTGGGGGCGGGGGGGGGGGAGAGGGGGGGAAGGGGAGGAGGGGAGGAGTGAGGGGTGGGGAAAGACGTGGGCCAGAGAGTTGGGGGGGGAATGGCATGTGGGGAGAATGGCATGGGCGGTGGCATGGAAGCATGTAGCATTGGTTGTTTAAGTTGTGAGGAGCCTGGGATGCATGTGCGTAGTGGTGTGGATAATGCCTTGGTGGGGATAGAATATGCATGGGGGCTTGAGCTGTGGTGTGCGGTATGGCATTGCGTGGTATGGCATGGCATGGCATGGCATGGCATGGCATGGCATGGCATGGCATGGCATGGCATGGCATGGCATGGCATGGCATGGCATGGCATGGCGAGGGCTCACAGTGTTTGAAGTGCACTGAGGCTGGAGAAGACGAGGGGAATGCTTCCGGTCATTGCATTGGCGAGCAGATCCCTGGTACCCGCTCATGCACGCCATGCACGCCATCCCACCCCAACACACACAGGACATGGTATGCATGCAACACGTGACACATACACACATACACACATACAACACATGACACATAAATATGTGCAAGAGATGACACTTAAACACATGGAGGACACAGTGCGGGAGGGAACGCATGGAGCACAGACTGCTGCTGGGTAAAGGCTGAATCATCTCCGCCCTTCCTCAAGCCACAATCATGCGGCATGGTTCACAGCACAGCACATCAACTCGCCTGAACCCAACTCAGCATGCAGCGCAAGCACCCTTACAACGACACATGCACGCGTGCGCAGCGCAGCAGATACAGCAGGCACACGCGCGGGCAGGCAGAGAAGCGCAGGGTGGAGGCAAGCATGGGGAAGACTTGCTGGTGGTTGGGCCGTGCCTGCCCCATGTGAAGTTGAAGAGTGCGCGGGGCAGTGGGAACGGGGAGCTGGGAGACGGTGCGAGGTGGGGGGGTGGTGGGGGGCGTGGAGCAGAGCGAAATGAAGCGGGGCTAAGGGGAAGGGGAAGGACTGACAGGCGCTGGAGGCCGGTGAGTTTGGCCATTTGAGAGGGCAGCGAGCCCGAGAGCTGGTTGTACCCCAGATCCCTGGTGGAAGTGATGCCATGGTGTGGTGTGGTGTGGTGTGGTGGCACACGCATAGTGGGGGGGTGAGGTGGATGGTATGGTAGGTGTGAAAGGCTGCTGTGAGTGCAGTGCAGGCATGTGGTTGGTGGTGAGCGGGCATGGGTGTGCGTGTGATAGCATGAGTGTGAGGGTGCGTCTGCATGCATGCATGTGGCTTGGATCGTGTGAGTGCACATGCGTACATGTGTGAGATGGCATACATGTGAGTGTGTGTGCGGGTGAATGGGTAAGAGTGCAGCGGAATGTGCAATTCTGCGTGCATGTGTGAGGGAAGGAAGAGACTGAGAGGGGAGGTGGGACGTGAAGAGAGGGGGGGGAGGGAGGGACGAGAGGCATAGAGAGGCATGGAGAGGGATAGAGGGAAGGGGAAGGAGAAGCAGGCAGGAGGAGTGTGAGAGAGGCTCACATGTACTGCAGTGAAGCAAGGGTGCTGATGGTGACTGGAATGCTTCCAGACAGGAAGTTGAAAGAGAGATCCCTGGTGTATCGCCACATACCCATACATACATGCACACAAGCACGTGCGCATGCACGCACGCACGCACGCGCGCGCGCACGCGCGCACACACACACACACACACACACACACACACACACACACACACACACACACACACATGCACGCACGCACGCACACAAGGCATGAGCAAGGTTTAAGCCGAGGCAGCTTTGACCGAGGCGCAAAATAGAGCTGCAGGTGTGAAGGAGAGCTCCGGATCATGGCAAATGTGCAGAGAGGGGTGGCGATAGTGCAGAGATGGAGGGCGGATGGCAGGCGTACAAGGAGTAAAGATTGGGCATGTTGAGCTTGGGAGGCAGAGGGCCTGACAAGCTGTTGCCTGCTAGGAACCTGCCGCACATACACACGCATGGCATGGGATGGTGCTGCATGGATGTCTCGTGGCATGGCATGGCATGGGATGGTGCTGCATGGATGTCTCATGGCATGGCATGGCATGGTGCATGTGGTGGAGTGGCGTGGAGTGGTGGGGCGATGAATGCAAGGACGGTGATGGGGAGGTGGGGGCGAGAGAAAGGGAAGGAGGAGCAGCACTGCTGCACTGCACTGATGGTTGGATGGAAGAATGTGGGGCATAGATGGCGATTCGGCATGCAACAGGCGTAACTGTCTCTCCATGCATGCATGTGTGGTTGCACACACGCACACACCCACACACCCATACACCCACACACACACACACACACACACACACACACACACACACACATCATCCACACACACTCGCTGGCACACAACACAAGCACATACACAGATGCAAAAACCCATGCATGCACACACACACACAACCCACAGCACACACACACGCACACACACGCACACACACACACACACGCACACACACACACACGCATAGCTCACACACACAAATGCGCGTCGACCCACAACTCCTCCCATCTTTCCCCGCCCCTGTCACCCCTCCCTGCGCCCTGCCGTACAGTTCTCCAACGCCCGGCATTGCTGCGAGGGTGGGCGGTATGATGCCATTCAAGCGGTTCAGCGATAGGTCGCTGCAGAGGCGAGGATGGGGGGCAGGGGGGACGAACACAGAGGACGATAGGGGAAGGAGGGAGAGAGAAAAGAGCGACAGATGGACGGGTCATTGAGAGATAGCGAAGTCAGGGAGGGGAAAGAGAGGAGGGAGGGAGCGATGGAAGGATCCGGTGAAGGAAGGGAGATTGCAAGGAGAATAAAACCGTTGGGTATGGAACCGGCTGAGAGGAGGCGCTACATGAGCATTGAACTTGAGCAGCATGAACATGAAACGGAAGGGCGCACTAAAGGAACAGCTCAGCACTGTGACATACACGGCACAGCACAGCAGGGCAAGGTACGGCACGGTACAGTGCGGCACAGCATGGCACGGCGCAGCGTGGGCATGGGCATGGGCAAGGGCAAGGGCGTGAGCGGTAAGGGCATACAGAGTGGCGAGGTTCTTGAGCGTGGCCATGTTGGGGATGGTCCCCGTCAACAGATTCGCCTTCAGCCGCCTGCCCCCCGCACACACCGCACAGGGGAGGGCGGGGGGGAAAGGGGGGAGAAGGTGTTGGGACCAGAGCAGCAGGGGTGTCCGGTTGAGGGGGAGGGATGCCACGGGGAGGCACACGCAGGGTTCTCGGCAGAGGGCAGAAAACGGGGGGGAGGGGGCGGTGTGAGGGGGAGGGGGAGTTGAGCGCGTGGCCGATGATATAGGAAGGTGTGGGTGGGTGGGTGGGTGGGTGGGCGGGCGGGCAGAGGTGCAGTGTGCCGCACATACAAGGAGTATGCATGTATGCTAGACTGCACTGCGCTCTCCTCTCTTGCCTTACAGCACGTCCCCCGCCTGTCTTGTGCTTTCTCATCATCCACAATGCCCCTCATCCGCTCACTCACGCCACACCCAGCACGTTGGGCCTGACGGACACGGCGCTCCCACGCATGGCAGGGCAGACGGGCATAGCACTCACAGGCTCTGCAGCAAGGGTAGCTTGCCGATAGTGGAGGGGAGGGTGCCCGATATGCTATTGTAGTCCAGGTGCCTGGAGGGAGACGTGAGGGACGACACAGAGGAAAACGATGGCGGATAGCGACATGCCACAGACACACCCATGGGTCGGGACGTGACACGAATCTCTTGCTCCCTCCCCATGCGCTCCGCATGCTAGACTGATACTTGTTGCACCTGCGTGTGACACGCAGGCACGCACGCCATGAGAACCAGCCAGCGTCCACACGCAAAGAAGGAGAGCGGGGGGGGTAGCACGGGACTGGTGTGGTGCCTCCACGGTACTGCAGGGAGTTTTTGAGTGGACTCAGAAACGATTTAGTCGACTAACAGAAAAAACGCGCGCGCACGCACGCATGCATGCACGCACGAACACACACACACACACACACACACACACACACACACACACACACACACACACACACACACACACACACACACACACGCACGCATACACACACACGCACGCACACACATGACTCACAGGTACTGCAGGGAGGCGAGGGCGCTGATGCCGGCGGGTATGGAGCCGTACAGCTCGTTGTCCGACAGGTAGCTGCTCCAGGCCGGGTGGCGCGCACGGGAGGGAGGGAGACGGAGAGAGAGGAGAGTGAGTGAGAGAGTGAGAGAGAACGAAAGAGGGAAAGAGGGGGAGGAAGAAGGGGAAAGGGTGGAGAAGCGGAGGGAATGGAAAGGGAAGCGTGGCACAGGACAAGCAGGGAGAGAGAGGTAGACCAACAAGGGGACACACCCTCACGCCTCTGCGAACCCCTGGTCAGAACGGAAAGCCACTCCTGCTGGGGCGGCACAGCACACATGCGCAAATAGTGTCCCACACACACGCAACCGTGTCACGGTAATGGCGGCGGCGGCGGCATCATAATCAGCAGCAGGGAGGGAGGGAGGGGGGTGACTCACAGGCCAGTGAGGGCAGTGAAGTATTTGATGAACTCGGGAATAACCCCCACGAGCGACCTGTGCTGCAGATTGCTGCATGCACACAGCAAAGCACCACACAGCACAGCACGGCACAGCACAGCACACGGACGAGAGGCGGAGGTAGACAAGAGAGGGAGAGAGAAAGGATCACATAAACACGGAGAGAGAGCAAATGAAGACGTCGGGGCTCAGGGAGTGGGAAGATGAAAGGGAGTGCGTGGAAGGCAAGCCGTCCGGCATGTGACTTATCATGGCCAATCCAAGCGGTGTGTGCGACCAGTCATGCCATCTGGGTTAACGAAAGAACAAAACAAAACAAACAAACAATCAAACAAAAAACTCTGCAAACCGTAAGTAACCAATGGCGGCGTGAACGCGCTCGCCCTCCCTGGGGAGGGCGGCCATAGCTCCGCCTTCGTCACACACTCGCCCCCGGCCTTCCCAGCGCCCTCGTTCGCCCGTGTGACTCAGTGCGTCCAGTGAGAACAAGCTGTACGCTCCACCTCTCCTCCCCGCCAACCCCAAACACACATCACCACTCTTCTCATAACCACCCTCACCGGCCCTTCCGCCTCCCATCCCCCTCCCCCTCCCCCCATCCCGCTCCCCGAATCCCCGCACGCCGTCTCGCACCCGCACTCCCCCCGCCCCCTCACATCTCGATGATGCTGCCATCGGCGGAACACAGCAGCCCTTTGAACACGGGGATGTCGTCGTATCCCGTGTATCCCGCTCCCCGTATCCCGCTCCCAGTATCCCGGTATCCCGCTCCCCGCACCGCGCCTCCCACCCGCCCTGCCCCCGCCCCCTCACATCTCGATGATGCTGCCGTCGGCGGAGCAGATGAGCCCCTTGAGCACGGGGATGTCGTCCGACCCGTCGTCCAGGCCCTGCAAGCACCGCGCGTCGTACGCCCACGTGCGCGCCTCTATGAAGTTGCCGCCCCACGCCGCGCGCAGATCCGACAGAAAGCCGTCTGCGCGCACCCGCCCGCGGATAAGGGTTGGCGGACGGACGGCGAGGGAGGGACGGGACGGGAAGGGTGGGGAGCATGGGGAAGGGACGAGGGATGGGGGAAAGGAGGGTTGCGAGGGAGGGGGAAGAGCGGTGGGGGAAGAGCCGGAGGACAGGGAAAGTGGAGAAATTGTTAGGGGAGAAGAAGAAACGGCAAAAAATCTTGTAAGGAGAGGTGGTTGGGGAACGGGAGTGAGTGCGTGCAGCTGGGTCGGGCCGTGGGTGACGTGAGTGAGTGCAGCTGGGTCGGTCCGCTGAAACGCTACGAAACTCGCGAACGTCGCTAGCAGCACCGTGAGATGGGAGCACGCGTGACGTAGAACCAGCAAGGAGAAGGCAGAGCTTTAAGGCGGGAGAATGACGAAGGAATCTTACGACCACGGACACACTCCGCCCCGGCTCTAAAAGCTGACTTGATCGTCGTAACCGCTAAACGCGATTACTGTCGGAGCTAACTGCGACTACCTTGGCAGCTAAACGCAATTATCTCAATAGCTGACGTAACAGCCCTGGGAGCTGTGGTCCCAGCGATACGGCTGAGCGACCCTGACTCTGCTGACGAGGCTGACAGCGGGCGAGGAGGAGAGAAGAGAGCGAGGGACGACGAGCGGGGGCAGCACTGGTCGAAAGCGGAACGCGAAGACGAGACTGTGAAACTCTGAACGAGGACGCGATGCAGCTATGCAGCACATGCAGCGAGGCAGAGACACAGCGAGGAGAGCGAGACACCGAGACAGCGATGCTCACATTGCATGTTATTGACTTGCACCAGCGCATTAGCCGGCCCGACGAGACCGACAAGGCCCAGAAGGCTGGCGAGGAGTGAAAGCGCCACGCATGAATCCCAGTGGCGTGGGATTGGGAATCGTAGTCGCCTCATAGATATGTAGATAGATACGTGAATGGCTTTGCTAGGTTGGCCGTTGACCGTTGAAGTTGGGAAATGCGCGGGAAAACGCGACGAGGCGAGGGTAAGTAGAGCTGGAGGACTAGTACAAGAGATTACGAGCTACCGCGATGTGCTGGCTACGAAAGACGAACTAGGAACGACCTAACGAGCTGAATTCCACTCTCACGCGGTAGTACATTGGTGTCGACTTGAACAGGCCCTGCACTATGAACAGCCCAACATGCGTGTGGCTAACTCGCGTGGTTTCAGCTATTACTTCTCATAAGTTCGTCTGCCTGTCCTTCAGAAATGCTGTGGTGTCGTTTCGAAACACCTCGACCGTGGATGCGAGTGTCGGCTCTTAGATAAAACTAGAACTTGTTAGGAAATGGTGAAGAATGACGGAACTCGAGGTTGGACTGGTGGATGGATGGAACAAGCAGGACGAAGGAACGCTACGGGTACAGTGCAACTAGTAACGTCGTGGTGGCTGGGAACCCTAACAACTGCACCGCACTGCATCTCGCAAAAAACGATACAGCGTGTTAATGTTGTTGGGTAGGTGCACGATGTTGGTGGAGGCCATGGATGAATGCTGCAAACGGGGGTCGGTGAGGTCGGTGGTTCGTCCGTTTCTGTGCAAACTTTGTTGTCGGAAAATCACTTCGAGAAAGCTTTTTAGGAGTTGGATGCGGTACAAAGGATTTGTAAGACCAGTTGATGGGATGGAGAAGAAAGGAGCAGCATCTTCCAGAATAGAACGGCGATGACAGGTGCATTAGCTGGAAACTGGTTTGGTTGTTTGGCAGTTGGGAAAGTGGCATGTGGCAAACAGCAGCTATGGTCCCAAACCGAGTCCGAACCGAGACTGGTGGCAGCAGTACATCGGCTCGTCGAAAAGAGACACGGGCGGACGGGACGGGACGGGACGGACGGAACTTCAGCAAGGGGGAGGTGAATCCGCGTCCACCAACCTCGTGGTGCTGGGGCGGGGGGGTGGGGGGGGGAGGAGGCGTGTTTGGTGAGGAGACAGGCGGGGGACGGTGAGGCTGGCAGAAAGGGGTGGGGGAGTGTAAGGACGCGTTACAATTGCGACATCGAGGAGGATCGCGGTCACACACCGAAGCTGCGAGAATCGATCTCCTCTGAGCCAGATGTGTCGCGATTGTCCTCAGGTTCGAAAGTTTGCGGGGTTAGAAGCCATTTTAAAAGTTTAAAATGCATTACGTAGGATTTGAGTGCGGTGACAGATCGATCTTGAAGGGACATCGCGTTCGGTGACTACTGTCGGGTCTTAGCGAACTTTAACGTAAACGGGATACAAGACACAGCGAATTACTGTATACTCGGAACATCAATCTCCCACAGGATCGATGTCGCAATTGTGACATGTCCAAAGGAATTTTCTCGCCATTCCTTAACGCGACCTGCAACATCGCGTACAGCAGCAGCCGTTGTTCGCCCGTTACTGCTAACGGGGCTTCGGCGACTCCGCGCGCACTGTTTCACCAAACCATGCACCGTTGGCCCGGCCGTGTCGGCCTACGCTTTGGGACTAGCCCGAGCCTCAATACTAGCCTAGCACTAGCTAGCTCGCACGCACCGCGTTACCGTTTGCATGTTTCGCGTATAAATGTTCGCTCATGCCTTCGCTCACATATTGTACTCGTTTTACACTTAGTGCAATCCTCGCTACCTCGATTCATTGCACCCGTAACATTTGGTTATTAGAGCTACCTTCTTTCGGACCGCGCATCTCCGCACCCCACGAAATCAACTTTTGATTTTTCACTCGAAGGGACTCACGCACCTTAGCCCCTAGGAGCCGCTGTCCTCGCGTTCTCTCGTAAACGCGTGCAGCCACGACTGCGCCTAGACTAAGACGAGCCGACGCCCTTCGTAATGGCCGAGCACATCAACGTCACCACCCACACGCAGGAGCGTCTGAACGAACTGCTGCAGCAACTTCGCGAAAGCTCTGAAGAAATTGTGGCGCTGACGGCAGAACGCACGTCTCTGCAAAATGACGTCGTACGAGCACAGCAAGCACAGTCTCAAGCACCTGGCACTACGGAACAGTCCGCACCACAGGCATCGCAACTCGGAAGTGTGGGGCGACCCGCGAGCACGGCTAGTGATGGCGTCGTCTCGTGCGCCGCGTCCACAAATGGGAGTGGATCTTGCATGGAGCATGAGGCGCACGGAACATGGGATGCAATCGGGAAGTGTTATGCGGCGCGATCGCGTGGATGTGGTGGAGCATCACTCTTACGGTCATGATGATGGAACGCAACGCATGGCTGGTCAAACGCGCAAGGACAATCCACATGCGACGCAGAATACCGGGACCATGAATGGTGCAACTTCAAACGGAGGACATCAAGCGACGCACGGAGAGAAAATGAAGGGCAATGATGAAAGGGAAGACGCACAACTCTTATGTGCTGGTTTTGCAAACAACTGGGCCACCCGTTCTACAAGTGTCACACGGCACCACCATGAAGGTCACCACCGTGGTGGAAACGACAAAACAGAGGGAGGACCAACCAACGCATCAGCAACTGCCATTCGACATCACCTCGAAGGAGTGGCAGCCCCAAACGTGACAGCAATGTTATAAAGCAGCAAAGGACAGCCGGGAGAGACAACAAACGGACGGTTACATGCATTGCAACAGTTCAATCGTCACAGACGACCTCACCAAGCTCTGGAGGTTCTCTATGGTTGCTGGATAGCGGATGCAGCCAGCACATGACTTCGGATAAACAATGATTTGAAGGTTTGAAAGAGTTGGACGAACCAGTACAAGTGGAGCTTGCTAATAGAAGCATTCTGAACAACTCAATGGGCACAATCAAAGTACATGCAACCGATGGGACAACGGTGCGCTACACTGACGTGCTCTACGCACCTGGTTTGAAGAGCAATCTCCAGCTCCTTCTGTCAGCTGCTGAAAAGGGGAGATCACCATGCCTGTTGGAGATGGACATGTACGGATCGGGCTTGGCAAAGGCGTGCATGGAGTGCTCATGGTGGAATATGAGCCAATCATTGCTTCTGCACATGAATCTGGCCACATTCATAAGGATGCGTCATTGAATGCAAATGGTCATGGAGGATTGAATGGTCAATCTGCTACTGCACCCGTCACCTACCGTATCGTACATATGGCTTGTGCCGTGCGGGACATGGCACGTGAACAAAGGTCCGCGGTGGGGAAAGGGGATTCCACGGAACAAGACTTACATGGAGCTGATAAAGTCAATGCAACCAGGGGAAAGGGAGGTGCTGCAGCGAATGACTTGCCTTCAGCAGATGCCTCTGTACCAGTGGAGGATGAGAATGATGTTGGAAGCAAGGTGGGATATGCAACTACGAGCGTGCGCATGGCTGACTTAACATACAAGGTGACAAAAGACATGACCAAGGACCAGCCCGCACCCACCAAAGGACACGACATCGCTTTCAGCCTGTGTGGCATCAAGCCGATTCCACGTAAAGCAACATCTGCGTATGGTCAATAAGTCAATGGTGCTAGTGCAACACTCACACGAGCGGGCTTCTCGAGGTGTGCTGCACATCCGGACATCACGTAGCCCCACACGCCTCACTCATGTGTTTGCACATGTGCACATGTTTGCATAAGTGCATGATTACAAACACATGGGTGACAGGGGGAGTGGGGTGTGGAGCATTTGTACGCTGAAATGGGAAGCAGAAGTTCATTCTTCAGTTTTCATGATCATTTACACGGCAATCAGGTGCTAAGGGAACGACCTACTGTCAACATTGCACAGTACAATGGATCACGGATGCTGCTGTCGTGTGCCAGCAGATGCTGCTGCAATCGAACTGCACTTGCTGAAGTGCTACAGCTGCTGTTGCCCGCGGACAGCCGTTGCTACAAGTGTACCTGCTGATTTCAGGGGGAGTGAAACACCACAAGTGAAGATACTTGTTAACATCGTACAATGGTGTGCGTGGAGGATTACACAGTTATGAGCAATACTGGATCAAGGAGAGAAGCGTACGAGGACGTGCTAGAGTTGCAGGAGATGCAGCCCTCAGTATGCCAGCTTATCATGTGGTAGCTGCTGCTGATCGTGCAAGAAGGCAGCTGCTGTTTCTGCAGCCAACCAGGTGCAGCTCGCCAGGTGCAGTCAGCCAGGTGTTGCTGCAAACCGCCAGCCGCTGCTGCAATCCGCCAGGCAGTGCTGTCCGCTAGCTGGTACTGCTGGGGAAAGGGGGGGGGCAAACCAAGACAACACATGTTAAGCCATTTTGGAGATTCATCCAGGAGGAGAGTGGAAGGAAAGCAAAATGAGAAGGGAGAAGGCAGGCTACTACGGCAAGGCTAGGAGATCCCGAGATTCCTCACCATCACGCACTGCTGCAACTGCTGATCAGAAACGTACCAAGGAGTGCTGGAGCTGCAGGAGATGCAGCCCCAGGTCTGCAGGCCAATAGGTGCTGGTACTGCAGGCCGTTAGGTGCTGTTGCAGAAGGGCGTTAGGGGGAGCTGCATGCGGCCAGGTGATGCTGATGCAGCCTGTCAGGCGCCGCTGGTGCTGCTCACGCCCACAAGGAGGTGCAACCGGCCGCCAGGTGCTGGGCGCCAAGTGTTGGCCGCTAGGTGATGATGCAGGTTGCCATCAGTTGCTGTCCGTGGGTTGCAGCTGCTCCCGTTCACTAGCTGGTGTGGGCCGGTGCAAAGGGACATTACACGATAAAATGAGAAGGGATAACAAAGCTTCACGAGACCCAAAGAACATGATGCAGCCAAGGCAGGGGGAAACCTAGCCTTGTCTCACCATGGTGCTGCTGGGCGCGAAGCGATGTTGTTGCTGCCGCCTGCCACGGGCTGCTGGTGCTGCCGGGAGACAGGTGCAGCTGCGCACAGTTAAGTTATGCTACTACTACCGTACGCCATCTGCATAAGTGTAACATCTTGAGGGTATTAGTCGAAAGGGTGAGTAAAATGCGGGTGGAAG